ACTTTTGTTATCCCTATGGCCATAATCCTGACCAGCTCTGTGCAGAACCAGGTAGCAGGAGGATCCATAAAGAGCCTTGCTTTGAGGCACAAGGTTTATAGGTTTTACTTACAGGTAATTTCTCTCCTAAAGAAATAAATTGGTTTTTTCCGTATAAACTTATTAAAATTCCAATCAACACTAAAGTTTATATTAGTTTAGTTTATATTAGTTTAGTTTATGTTACTGTTCTTACACAGCTTTAGCTACAGTTTCTCTTCTGTTCTGCAAACTGTATTAACATCCAAGTTGATTATAGACGTTTCCTCATACATCCTTGAAACAAGCTCCTTGAGATCTTTCAATCTCTAGCTAAAATCTGTGTTCAAAATGGTTACAAAACCAGAACAGAGCGCCTTTTCCTTCAAGCATTGTTCTTGAATGTCTTAAGCCCTGAAGTTCCCCATGCATTTCTAATTTCACTGTCATTTCATTTATTTTTTTTTTTGAAAGCAGACATAGCTGGCCTGGGAAAGCTGGCAGATTTTTATATCCAACAAAGAAAGGAGGCAGTTACAGAAAAGCTGATTCTCCTTATGGCTTTTGTTTGCTTAATTATCATTTTTCCATTTTCTCTGTTTGCTCTAACCACTTAAATGTCATAAAGACATCTGGAAATTAAATCCTAATTCATTGGGAGCTGCCTTCTTCCGGAGTTAAATGAATTATTCTGCTCTTTCTCTTGTAGTTTCTCCATTTTCTTTCTTTGTGGGGGTGTGCAGCCTGCATTTGAATTTTATTGTTTTGTGTTGTTCCCTGGGCAACTCCAGTTCTTAATTCTGACCTCACAGTGTTACTTTTTCCTCACCTTCTTTCTGTATTAGTGCAGCTTGGTAACATTCTGAAAAATAAAGCCTGGAATTCAGATCAAGTTGGCAAAAAATGTTCCAGCACATAAACTCCATGTTCTTTATAGAGTCTGTATTAGACACCACTGTCAGATCAGTGACCAACTCTGACAAAGGCATTAAACCATTTATTCCTCTCAGGGCACCTTCCAACAGCCTTTTCAGTTATGAAATTGTATTTGGGGCTTTTCTGTTTCATACCTTGGGTCCCACACTCCCCTGCAATGCACAGCATCCTCCTTCCCTCCCTTCTCAGAGACACTGCAGGGTTTGGCTTGTGTTCACCACCTCTTGGCATGGACTGCCCCAGGGCATAAAATGAAAATTTGAGGTGAGTTTATCTCAGCTGAGGGTCAGATGGAGGTGTTTAGAGAATGCCAGAACAGCAAAGCTCTGCTGCCTTCACTCTTCACCCTTCTTGCTGCTGTTTTCTGTTCCCATTTGTTATCTCTTGTTGCAGGTTACTACTGAATTGCACAGTTCTTCCTGCACTCATTTCTGCATTATAGATTGATTCCATGAAAAAAAAAATAAAAGAGAAGCAGTCTTCTACATTGTTTGCTCTCCCTCAGGCTCTGGAGAAATTTTACTCCACACAGGCTCCTTTTCCCTGCCTCAGACACTGCTGTAACCTCCCTCAGCCCTGAGCTTTGTCCTCCTGAGCTTTCTACATTTCCTCTGACTGTTTATACTCTCAAACAATTCCCAGCTTTTGTTCAACATTTCCCCCTCTAACTTCTATATCTTGAGAAATTCTTCTTGCAGAAACACCATCTTCACTGAAAACCTCATCAACTCTATCAACTGATTTTTACCTCATGATCTACCTTGTTTTAAAATTTCCTTTGTGTCCATATGGGAGCTGTGTTCTGCTCTTAATGGAGCAAGAGGCAGCAGTGTCCAATGAACAGCTCTGGGTTTACTTCATTAGTAATGAATTTCAACTAAAATTCTACCAGTGAGAGTGGATTCCTAAGTAACTTTAAAAGCCTGCCCAAAAAAAAAAAAAATCTTGGCATATATTCAAGTTCTGCAAAAGTTGAAGAATTAATGATGCATGTGGGTTATGTATTGCTTTTTTAGCTTGGTTTTCCCAGTCCTCAAACCCTTCTTTCCTTCAATAAAAGGTGAACTCTTGCAGAACTGGAGTGTTGCTACAGTGACAAGTTCCTGCACGTCAGGGGAAGTCATATGACAGGAGAAGGGGCTGAGAGAGGCGGCTTTACATCACCCTTATTTATGGCTGGTGGCTCTAGTTGCAGGTTAAAACCATTTGATGCCACCAAAGAGAATGTAACCAGACTGAGCTCTTGCTTGGGGTGCCTGAGCAAAATTCCCTGTACCCTTCAGAGGTGTGGCAGCACCACCTGGAAACTTCCAAGTTTCAGCTCTGTAGCTGCTGTGGGCTTGTGAGACTCAAAGCAAAGGCCCAGGAGCAGGTCCTGAGCCAAACAGCCACTCACTCATTGGGGTTGCTAAGGGACACTTACTCAGGAGCACTGTGTACATTGATTCCCCTGGGAATTTCCTTGATGCCCTCCAAAAGGATTTGGCTCTCAAAGTGGAGCTCAGCATGAAGCCATCCTGGTCAGAGGGTTTTGCCTTCACATCTCAGAGTCTTTTAGGTGAAATCTGTCTCTTAAAAGAATTCCAGGAAGGTAGGAAGCAGAAAGAAAAAGATTCCACACTGACTGTGTGGTTTTATTTTCAACAGAAATTTCCTTGGATGAGCGCTCCCATTCAGGTTGGATTAGTTGGAATGTGGTAAGTGGTTTCTTTGGGTTGGGTCTGCTATCTTAAGAGATACTTGTAGGGCTTTTGAGAATGCAGCAATATTTGTTGTTTTATTTTTTAAGAAAAAAAAATAGAGAGTTACTGAGGGCACAACAGTTATTTCCATCTCTGTAACTGATAAAATATCATGTTAAAAACAAAAAAAAAGCTGTTAGCAGGGAAGAAGCTGCCAAGAAAAGCAGAGGGAGGGCAGAAAAGGGAGTGGCAAAAAAAGGAATGTGGCAGCTTGATTAGAAAAGATGCTTCAGCTGCTACCTCTAAACAGCCAGTGGAACCTCATTCTGGAGGTTGAGAATTCTGGAAACATTTGGTTAATAGTGTTTAATTTGCTGTGTTCTGGCATTTTCTGCATGCACATAAAGGTAAAACACTGTAAGGACATCAAATGGTAATTTTAGACAAATTTAAGAGTGTGGTATTGTGAAACATTTAGTGCTATTTGTAGGTAAATGATTTCATAAGGTACAATGCAGTTAGAAATAAAAGTTACATAGCACTTTGTGGAACTCTACCTCACTGTGTACAGAAAACAAGAAAACTTTTTATGTAAATCATGCATAAGATTTTTGAATTCTGTTTTAGCACCCTAAATATTATAAACCTGGTTTTGTCTCCTCTAGTCTCGTGTTTGCAACTCCCCTGTGTTGTGCACTGTTTCCTCAGAAAAGGTGGGTACTGCTGTGAATTATTCTCACTTGTGTTAATCCAGATCCAGTCATGGTGTGCACACAGACACAAACATGGGGGTCATTGTCTGCTCAAACACAGTTTTAATTTCCATATAACAAAGGTGATAAACAAGAGAATATACAGAAAAGTAATAACTTTTATTTATCAATAATATATAATAGTTGTTTACAAACCCCAGCAGCTCAAGATGAGTTCTGTACAATATATTCTTGTCCAGTAAGGTTATAGATGCACTAAATACAATCAGAGCCCATTTTATTTTCATCTGGAAACTCTTCTATTTATACAGAGCAGCTCTGGACTATCTGTACTCATTTGTTATTTGATTAGTATTTTTCCAGACTTTTTCATCAATACAGAAGTAGCTCAGTACTGAAAGCAGTCTTAGAAGCAATATTCATTATAGCTGAAATCCTTATGAAATCTGAATTAGGTGCTTAACAAAAACCTTTACTCAATTTGGTACATAGTATGGACAGGGCTTGAAATTCAGCTGTCCCTATAGTTTTAATAGTGGTTGTCTAAACTCAACAAGCTGCCAGGTGTACCTTGAACAACCCAAGCTTGAGCTGAGTCCATTAAAATGCTGAACTAAGGCAGCTTTTGACTTCCAGAAAACAATAGCCAATTTTCAGTGTTGTTTGAGTACAACAAAGCTGACACCATCTGTCTCCCTGCTTGGCCTAGGACAGAGAACTGTGGTAAACAAGTGTCACTAGGCTACCTGGAGATGACTTGACAAACCAACCCAGCACACATGCTACCGTTCTTGATTTCAGCCAGGGCTCTCCAGCTCAGAGGAAGATTAGACCTTGAACTGTGTTCAGGAAATTGCAGCTGTTCAAATGACCTGGCAGCTTAATTCACTTTACTGTGAACCAGCTCTCATAAAAACAAACCTTGTATTCAATTGTACAAAACCACATAGTAAGTTAAATAGGCAATTACATTATATTTAATAAAAACCCTTTTAGGAAGGTAAGTTTCTATTGCCAGCAGGAACCTGAGCAATGAAGTGGATCCTTACCCTCATAGTAATAGCAACAGCCATTTCCTAACTCCATAGACTATCCCACTGCCCTTGGAGCAGGGATTCACATGCCCTGGTCTGTGAGCCTTCTTCCTGGATAAGATGTTTCAAAAGATCTGAAAACTCTTTTGACAATGTAGGAAATTTTAGCAGACGCATTGTCCATCTCATTTTCCCTTCTGATGCCTGTTTGCTGTAACCCCTCCGCTGTTTCTTTTGCTCAGTTCGATGTCGGTGTCACGCTTGGAGCCAGATTTGCAAGCCAGGATCCGAGACAGCAGCCCTGGCCTAGAACGTGTATACTTCAATAAAGGATTATAATTCAAGGAAGGCAAAGTATCTTTCAAGGAGAAACTTATGAACTTTTTTTTTTGAATTGTGTGCCAACATAGACAAGAACACAACTTTATCTTGTCCTTTTGTTAAACAAGTTTGATCATCTACCATTATTTTACAGTTAAAGACTTTTCTCAGTATAGTGTTTAAATTATGTAAGGTCACTTTGTCCACTTTGGTATTGTTTAACACATTAAACATACATATCCAGAGATGTTTACATAAGTCTCAAGCAGCTACAATAACAATAAAGAAGCGCACAATGAAAACCAGATGCTATTATATTGGATTTGCCACCTGTTCCAGTAATAGTGGGGTAGGGACCTCCTTTTGAAAAGTCATAGAGCAACTGAACGAAGTTGCCAGCCTCTGGTAGCCACAGTACGGGTGGCTGAACGTGTCAGGATGTTGTGCAGGAAGGGCTTTTTGCCAGGAGGCTGACTGGGCTGCAGGTTTTCCCTGTTGGCACAGAAGCGTTTCTTGAGGGCGGACGTTGGCGGCGCCTGCAGCTTCTGCACCGTGTGGTACTGCTCAGCAATGCAGGCCGCCTTCTTGCGCAGGTCCAGCTTCACCAGCATCATGTTGTTCTGCAGCTCTGCCAAAGTCTGGTCCTGGGGAAGCCAAGGCAAGATATATTTATATAAAAATGTTTAAAAATCAAATCATAGAAAGAAAAGCCCATTCCTAGTTGGAACTGGCTGGATTAAAGATCCACTTGTTCTCTGTTGTGGACAAGGGATGGATTTTACTAGACCAGCTTGCTCCAAACCCTATCCAGCTTAGCCTTAAAACATTTCCAGGGATGGAGCAGCCACAACTTCTGTAGGAAATGTGTTTTCAGTGCTTCAGCATCCTCACAGTAAAGAATTTTTTACTAATATTTAATCTAGACCTCAGTATGAAGCTATTCCCCCTTGTCTTGTCATTCTCTGCTCTTAGAAAAAGAGTCCCTCTCCAGCTTTGTTATAGGCTCCCATCAGGTACAATGACAAGTTGTCTTAACTCCCTGGTTACTGTGAACTGTGGAAGATAAACTGCCTTTTGCCAAAATTCACTAACTGTTCTGCTAAAGAAGACCATGCATAAAAGCTTCTACTGTCAACAGTGTAGCAGTCCAGCAACACATAGGAACAGTAAGGGTGGGGCAAAGCTGACTCCATCCTGCTGCAAATATGCTGCCATAGCAGCTGTGATGGAGTGAATAAGGAAATGAGAACTCTGAATTCTCCTACTTCAAGTGCAGGCTGCCAGTTAACTGAACGGGAACAATTTGAGTCTCCTGTGAAGAGAAATACACAACTAACTCAGCCATTGAAAAAAATCAGCCATAGAGCTCCCTTCACAAAATATGTACCAGCTAATAAATAATTTTTCTTTGCAGCAGCAAGAACTTTGGTTGCTGTGATTATGGCAAAGCACACAGACTAGACCCCTCTCCCCCATGCAGCCCACACCAGAGCAGACACATCACCTGTCTTGCCAGGATGTCATCACACACGCCCAGGGCTTCTCGCAGCTTCCCTGCCCCTGTGCTGTGGCAGCACGCCCGCTCGGCAGACTGGAGAGACTCCCCAATTTTTTGTAACTCTGAACGCAGCATTCTGATGTTCTGGAAGAGAGGGGTTTAATGCAACAGCTGGTTTTGGCGCTGCTCTGCAAACAAAGCCACTCCAAGGTAACTCAGACAAGCAGCACTGAAGGAGGATCCCATCTGAGTGACCACATACTACATCCTTCAACAACTTAAGTTCAACAAATCCATTTCATTGGTTTAAAAACCTGGAAACAGCAGCCCCAAATTTTGTTTTAAGCGGGCAACCACTTTGCCCTGCAAATGTTCTTTTCTGTAACACAGAACTAGAGTTACCTTCTGCCCATCCTCCAGCTTCCTGTCCACATCCATAGTAATGGGTTTTGCAGAGGGAGGTGGCTCCACTAATTTCTGGTACTTGTGCAATTCTAGGAACAGACAAAAAGTAGTGAGCAACAGGACACTGCTCAGCTTTCAGTATTCCTGAAATTCAGGACTTCCCTTGAGACAAGCTGCCACAGGCAAGCTGGAAAGAGCTTTTGAGTTTGTGCAGAAAGGCACAAACATTCCAGGCTTCCCCCATTCACTTAGACAAAGGGGCTTAAGAATTTGAATGGAAAGATTATCCTGTCCTAAAGTCCATTTTCCTGTGAAAATGAAGTGAAACTGTCCATCCAGCACATTATTCCTGTCATCTACAAGTCAAATAATGTTTTGAGGGTGTCTAAATCCAATGTACCCTGAAGGTCTCTCTGACTCTGCACAGGGATCTCTCACAGCATGGTTCAGAACCGGTGCAGCATTGCTGCTGTACCTGCACGTGTGGAATTCAACTCCTTTTGACACTGCTCCAGCCTGGCTTTGGTGTCTGCCAGATCCTGCTGCAGAGTAGACGAGGTGGCCACTCTCTTGGATCGACGTACACTCTGCTCTGAGTCCTTTTGCTCAGCATCCAGGCTCTCCAGTTTTTGTTTGGTCTCCTGCAGAGCAGCTTTGAGCTCCGAAATCTCCTCGTCACACTCCTGAGAAAGGAAGTTTGTTCAGAGAGTCAACAAGATTTTCATAGCACAACTTGTCTGAAATGTTCTATGTCTTTATTCCTGTAGAATTTCTCAATCCTACACTTCACACATTGAAACCAGCCTTTAAGGTTACTTTTAAGCAAGTACAGCAAGCCCACTTCCTGGGAGCCTAAATCACTTTTTTACAGGCTCTAAAGAAGAAGGATTTTTCTGGGAGTTGGCATCTTCAGAGCAGTCTGCAAGAAGTCCCAGAGGTCACTCAAGTGCTGTAGGCATGAAAATATGAACAGGTCCATACCCATCATCACAACTGAGAGCAAGAAGAGAAATTCACACAACTTGTGTGAATCTGAAGAGCCCAAATCAAGCCACCAATGGAAAGAGTAAGGGAGGGAGAGAATCATGTTGAACAAATGGACAAGTCAGGACAGTTGTACATTAGCTTCCAGATGGACTGTTCAAAATTAGGAAGCCTAGTGGGTTAAAAAAAGTAGAAGAAGCAAAAATTGTAGATCGAGAGATAAAATAATATCACAAAAAAAAACTCAGAAAGCAAAATCTTTCTTTTCACTTTGCATAAAGATCTTCCTGGACTCAAGTACCCAGAGTCCCCTCCTAGCCCACTGCCACTTTCCTGATATCATTGCATTGCCCTGAACAAACCTGCATCTTCTCCTGGTAGTGGTCAGTCAGTAACTCTTTCAGGATGGTCATTTTACCCTCATACAATTCCTCCAGCTGCTCTCTCTGAGCATCCACGTGCTGGCTGCAAAGAGAACAACCAATTCCATGTCAGCATCTGGCAGCTCTTGGTGCTGCAGCTCATCCTGGGCAGAGGGAGCGAGACCAGCACAGGCTGTACCTCCACCACTGCTCCTTCTGTTGCATGTGCTCCAGCATCTCATTGCAGATCTCCTCACGCAGGCGCATCTCGAGCTCCAGCTTCTTCTGCCGCTCCTGCACCAGCAGCTCTCGTGCAGCTTCGGCCGCGCGCAGCAAGTCCTGCAAGAGGGACACAGCTCTGCTGCCCACGCTGCACAACAGAGTTAAGACCTGGAGTAAACTAAGTGATCCCATGTCTGCCAGATGCAGTGATCTAGATTTAAGGGTTTAGTCGCTTGGAAAGAAAAGTTGCCAGGGTTTGCTACCTTGACACATGACAGCTTGAGTCTCTGTAGGGATATGACTTCATCTTAATATTTCAGCTATCCCTGCTGCCTACTTTACCTGGCAAGTTCGACTTTTTTTTCCTCATTTAGATTCCTGTTCTGCATGTTTTCTAGATTTCCCTTGCAGAGAAGGAATTACAGATCTGCACCTGCACCGTTACTGCCACTGTTCCACAGATGACACAGTACTTTCAAATTCAGCACGTGTGTCAGATTTAGACCAACTGCAGAAAGTTTTTTTCAAGGATTCCCAATTTCCTGGATCCTTTTTCCTTCTGAGGTTCTGTGTCATCTCTCTTGGCTCTTTCTGAGCTCCAAACTCAGTCCCCCAGGCCAAAGCTAACAGTCATGTTTCTTGACCTTGCATCCGCATAAAGGCTGTAAAATCACAACCCACCTTCTTCTCATACGTAGAGATATCTGCCTCATCCTCAGTGTCTGCTTCTGATTCCACATCTTCCTCTGGCTCTGCCTCTGGACCCTGGCTGATTCGCCTGCTGTGTTCTTTGATGATGGATTTTAAGGATGGAAGTTCCAGCTTTGTGGGAGGTGCCTGAACAAGCTGAAGAGGAAAAGACCACCATTATCAATCTGCAAAGCCTGGAAGTTGTGTAGTCGTTAAATATAGCCCCTCTCTGCAACCTGTCAGCCATTTCAGTTCAGCAGAATCTGGAAATACTCAGGAGGTGATAACCACTGGAGAAGCATAGGGATGTGGTACAAGCATGGCCCCTCTTCCTTGTGGTGGGAAGGGGCCAAGTCCCACAGAAGCAGGAGAAACCCAAGCTACCCTGACCATGCCATGATCCTGACGTGTGTTACTCACCTGGCTGGCAATGGCTGAGAACTTGGCTACGTACAGAGTCTCATCATAGGTGGAAGCACACTGGTTGATGTTGACAATCATGCAGGAGCGCCCACGCCCCGTGAAGAAGCCCTGGAACACACGGGTCAGTTTGCTGTCCCGGAACGGAACCACCGCCTGCTTTGTCCTGTGGGAGAGACAGCAGTGAGCTGGGAAAGCAAAAAAAATAATCCCCCACACCCTCTCTCCCTCTGGAGGAGTGGATGCTCACCTGGCCTGCTGGTTCTGGCGGAGGGCGGTGATGCAGCGGCCCAGGGTGTGCAGGGAGGTGTTGATGTTGTTGGCTTCTTTCATTCGCTCCCCACTTATCTGGTCCTTGCAGCGCTCAGACCCCGCCAGGTCACACAGGGACAGCCTGAGGGAAACACAGTCATATTCACATCACTTAAGGGTTTGTCCTGCCATATCACATTTACAGTTCAGACACCCTGCAGTCACCTTACCAGCTTCCTCATAAAGGTACAGACCATTCTTTTGGGGTGCCTGGGCTGTTGATGGGTGAAGGGCCTGCCCTAAGTAGGTGTTACACAAAGTAACAGGAAAATGAGCTTTGAAGTGTCAACTTCAAAAATCCTTTGCCAGTCCTCAGAAGAGGCACTTTCCAGATAAACACGCCCCAGGAAAAGGGACCAGCAGCACTCAAATCAGCCCTGCTGCAAGGGTAAAGATGCTCACATTTACCTTCACTCAAAAAGCCTGAGAACTACCTCAAGTTGTACCTTGCAGTACTCCTCAAACTCCTGTCAGTTCCAAGACTTAGTATTTATTCCTTCCAAGTACTTTCAACAATACCATCATCAAGATGCTTCCCATACCCCAGGCCCTTAACCAAAGAGACAAGAAAGTTGAGATTACACCCAAATCCTAAAAAACATTAAACTTACTCGCTGATTTTGGGAACAAATTCACTGCTACCTCTTTGCAAGTGCAGAATCCGAATGGAGAACACACTGTGACTGTAAAGAAACATGCAAATATTAAAAAAAAAAACCCAAACAACTTTAAATGCCCCTCAGAATTGTATTTCTGCCTAAACAATTCCTTTCCCTTCAGACCTGCGACTGGAGTTCTGGTTCATGTGGGTGCTTGCAAAACTCTGGTTTTTCCGACCCAGTTTTAGGAGCTTCCAGGCCTCATCAGCATCCCGGACATTGATCCAGTTCAGATCTGGAAAGCAAGCATGCATTAAGCACAGCAGCTGGGAGACTGGCAGAAAACTTATCTCAGCCCCAACTTCACCATTGCATATCCTTGACATCAACAAATTTGACAATTCTGTAATCCTGACATCAGAGCTCTCTGTGGGGCTTTCCAGCACATCACTGCTAAGCCACCCACCCACTGAGCCCTAAAACCTTCCTAGCAGGCCACTAAAGCTCTCTTGCAGGCAAATCTACCTTTGACATAGGGGTTGCCAGTCTGGTCCTCGCAGAGCCGCAGCGTTTGCCGCTTGCGGTTCTGCCCAGGTAGAGCTGGTTCTAGCAAGTCATAGATTAACTCATTGTAGATCTCGAAGAAAGAGACCCAGATGGAGAACTGCACATCTCCTGTGCCGGTGAGTGAAATGTGATCCAAGTCAGCCCAGCAAGGGCCCAGTTCTGGAGAAAAAGAGAAAAAAAGAAGGAAAACAAATCATGACTGCTGCTTTTTATGGGACCAACCAAAATGGTTTAGCTCCAGAGCAAGATACTTCCTTCAGCAAGCAAAACCACCCCAGACACAAATCCTTTTATTTACTCCCTCCCATTTGCATCTATTCTAATGCCTGTCCCCAGTGAGACAGACTGAAGTTTCCTTTGACAGTATCACCTGCTCTGTGTAAGGACTTTTATATACCCAGTTTTGATTCCAGAATTACAAGATATTTCAAACATGAACCCTTTCCAGCATAACTGAAGTTTTTCAGTCCTTGTTATCTCAATCACTCCATGCTTCTGGATACTTAAGTAGCTGGGTTTAGTAGATAGAGCACAAGTGCTCAGTGCAGCCTGCCACTTTGGCATCCTGCTTCCCAGCAATACCCATCTCACAGCAATCAGCTGCTCATAACCACATTCCTTGAATGAAGTGAGTGAATGTCAAGCAATTTTTCATTTCACAAGGCTTGGTTGTTATGAAGTGGTGAATTCTTCTGATATTGGCATAATATATGCACAGAGCTCTTCTGACATGACATCTTTCAAAGGGAAAATCTGAGGCTACAGCATCTTTACTCCCTTACTCATAACGCAGCATCCAAGCAGCCATCACCCTTTGCTTCCCCCATCCTCCAGCAAAAAGAAGCAGGTAGCACACAACAGGCTTCCAAAAATACCTTCTGTCTGGCTGAGGTCTGAACGGTTGGTGAGTTGGCTGGATGAAGACAGACCAGCAACTCCACTGTCAAAACTGCCACTGGTGGTGGCCTGGAGCCGAGATTCCGCACTGTGACTCCTCTTCAGCGGCGTTAGCAGCTCCTCCTTGAAGGAAACAAGGAACAGGAGCATGCAGGTAGCACAACACCACCCCTTTCCTCTTGCTGCTGATCCCCCAGAGGCTCCATGCTTACCTCCCAGAGACCCCTCTGCAGCATCATCTGCTTCTTGGTCTCCTCCTGGCGCACCTGCCTGCTGTCCAGCCAGGTCACCTCGTTGGAGAGGGCAGGCTTCAGGTCCATGGCCTGGTACAGCCGGTCCCCCACACTGTTGAAGATGGTTGCCAAGGAGCGAGGCAGAATCCCCCCATCTTGGGTGGTGCCTGCAGCAAGAACAGCAGCAAAGCTGAGGATTCAGAGGCAGAAAACAAAAAACAATTCCTTCAACAGGCCCCACAGCACCTGGTGCTTTCCTTACCCTGAATCGTGTGAGTCTTCCCTGAATTGGTGATGCCATAGGTGTAAACCAGACAGTTCTGCCCACTCAGCACATCCTTTACCACCTGTTTCATTGTCTCATCAAAGAACAATTTCTGTCCCACCTCTGGTCCAAAAATCTACAAACAAGACACAAGAAAAAACGCTTCACATAGATCTTTCCTATCCTTTGCTGGTGGTTGTTCAAGTGATATTACATGGTCCTTTATTCCCTGCACTAGCCATGAGCAAGAGACCCACCAGCAATTCCAGCTGAATGGGTTGCTCTTACAAACATAAGCTTCTCATTTATTTAATCTAATAACATCTCATATCACTGCAGTCCCTAGTCCGCTTACAGCCTCATGAACTGTTTGCCATTTGCTGCCAAAAAAGAGTTGTCAGAAACAGCTTAGAAAGAAAAAAAAAAAAAAAAAATAGCAACTAAAACCTGAAGTAACCTGATTTCATGAGAGTTCAGGCAGCGCCCTGGGAGTCAGTGGATGTGAATAAGGGTGCTTTTCAAGCTGCAGGGCTGGTTTAAGCTCAAATCACTTCCAGATGGGCTTTTGTCCCAGCTACCTACCCGGGTGAAGGAGAATCTGTGCACTGCTTGTCCCACTCCACGCTCCGTGCTCCGCATGGTGAAGGAATTCTTTGGAGCTTTTAGAATAAGGGTTTCTGAGTTCTCAATACAGACACAGCCCTAAAGAACACACAAAATCCATCACTGCAGTGGCTTACAGGAGGATAGACAGCAAAGGACAACAGCATCTCCCAGCAGGCACACAGCCAGATCAGACTCTGCTTCATTCAGTGTCTCACCTGGTCTTCCCCTTTTTCTACTTCTGTAGATTTCAGAGGTCGAACTCTGAGGTAGACCTTTAATTTTCCATTATTGTCTTCAGCTACAGCCTGCAATAATCAGCACAAGTTAAATATGGCAGCCAAAGAGGCAGCACACAACCCCCCATGGGAACACTTAACAGGAACCACAATACGGAACACACATGTTGGCTATGCTGCTAGTGCTGAGGAATTTCTCTGGTCCCAAAATCACCAACAATGCCAGAAGCTTTCTTAGGCATTTCCAAGCACACCACTATTTTTTTGTTGTTGTTGTTGTTTATTTATCTAACGGATCAGACTAACAAGCCAAAGGCCTAACACCAAAACCAAGCATCACCCCAAGAGGCACTCGCTGCCCACCACTCTACCAGAAACTGCTCCCCCCAAATGCAGCATTCTGTTCCTGCCTCTTCTGAAGAATCTGTTTTTTCTGCATCACATCACCTTTGTACAGGGAACAGCAGCCACGAGCGAAAACACTGCCCTGTTTGTGACAGAAGAGCTTCCAACCTCACCTGAGAGCCCTCGAGGTTTGGGGAGATGGCGGAGAACTCGGGCAGCAGGTCCTTGCACAGGTCAGCCCCAAAGCCCGCTGCTGTGGACTCGAGCACAGGGGAGGCTGCAGCCTCATCGTCAGAAAACAGCCCTGGGGAGGCGAGGGCTTGTGCCATGGTGCCTCACACGGCTCCTGGGGAAAGAGGGGCACAGCCAGGGTGATGTTCCAGCAGCCCGTGCCACATCCAGCAGTACCCACAAACACGGATCCCCACGGGGAGCCCTCCCTGACACACGACGCTGCTTACAGACGTGCACACATACACACCCCTGCACACGGGGAAACCACACGGGACCCAGGCACAGCCCGTGCACACACAAACACTACCCAGGACTCCAAACCCACCTCCTGGACATACGGACACCATACATGTGACATGCGCACAAACACCCCTTTAACGCACGGTTACCGCAGAGACGTAACGCATATACCAACCACCACACGGGTCACCTCCAAACCCAGACGCAGCTCGTCGTCGGCGCCACACACAGAGCCCAGCACGCCGCGGGGTCCGGCCGCACGCACAGGGACCCACAGCCACTACCGACCGCCCCTCACGCCGCTCCGGCCCCGCTGCCCCTCACACCGCTCCTCGCTCGGCGTTTCAAACCTCGCCGCCCGCCCGCTTCACCAATGGGAGCCCGGCATGAGCGCCCCTCGACCAATCACCGCCCGCTCTTGGGACAGAGGGGGGCGGGCCCCAACAACGGGCCCCCCGCGCGCGCACGCGCACGGCCGCCTCCCGGCGGGCTTTGCGCGCGGCACCGCCCCTGCCGCGCTCCGGGCCGGGCGGGGAAGATGGCGGCGGGGCCCGGGAGTGAGTGCGGGGCGGGGCGGGAGACGCGGCGGGGAGCGAGCGGCGGCGGGACCGGGGAGGAGGAGGGACAGGGGAATGGCCCGAGGAGAACGGAGCGGTTGCGGAGGATCCTCTCGGGAAAAGCCAAAGGGGGCGCGGGGTGGGGTGGGTCCGGGGAGGGGCGGGGCCGAGGAGTCCGTGAGGGGCGGGCCCAGCGGCGGAGCCGCGGTTCGAGTCCCGCTGTGGCCGGTGTGCCCCCGCACACTCCTGCCCTGTCCCGCAGAGCACAAGCTGCTGAGCGCCGGCCCCACCGAGCCCTGGTCCATCCGCGAGAAGCTCTGCCTGGCCTCCTCCGTCATGCGCAGCGGCGACCAGAACTGGTACGGCAGCGGGGGAGGCGGGCGGCGTGTGCACAGCAAGGCTGGCACCCCGCTGCCTCTGTTCAGAACAAAGTTGGGGTGTAAGAGGTGCTGAAGGTGTACCTGGACAGGCACTTTGTTGCTTTCATAACTACTGTGTAAAAATAGACGTGTGTTCGTCAAAATAAAGAGCGATGAGAGCTGGACAGGGACTCTGGGTAAGGCCATGGAGTGTTAGGACAAGGGGAATGGCTTCAGGCTCAGGGAGGGAGGGTTAAGTTGGGGATTAGGAAGAAATACTGTAAAGATGGTGAGGCACTGAAAAGGGTTGCCCAGAGAAGTTGTGACTCCCCGTCCCTGGAAGTATGCATGGGCAGGGCTTGAAGCAATCTGGGATTAGTGGAAGATGTCCCTGCCCATGGCAGGGGTTGGAACAAGATGATCTTTAAGGTCCTTCCCAGCCCATTCTATGATTCTATGTTCATTATTAAATGAGGTGAGTTGTGGACAACAAAGATATTTGGTAACAGATTCCTGTGCACTGAACCTACAGCTCTGTTTTACTGTATTTTTCTCCTCATTAAAGTAAGAGTTTTGTGGAAATGTAATCACATAACCAGATGCAAGAAACTTGCTTTTCAAAGCAAAGGAGTGAAGTTACTGTTTATTAGAAGCAGGTAACTATTTTTGAGACTTGTACAAGTCTTTGGTGAGTTTACCATGTTTAGCAGGATTATTCAATGATGTAAAGAGTGGTTTTCATCTTTTCTCTGCATGTTGATTGGGGAAGAAGGTGAGTTGATGGTGACTTGCCATTTCCTTCCCACAGGGTCTCAGTCAGCAGAGCCATCAAACCTTTTGCAGAGCCAGGACGCCCGCCTGATTGGTTTTCCCAAAAGGTAAGACACTGACATTTGATTCTTGGACGCCAAATCTCTGCACAATCAGAAAAGCCATATTGAGGATGAATTTAGGATTAATTGTTCCATGCTTTATCCAGTACACAGTTACTAAGGCTAAGTAAAAAGATCCTTCACCAGGCATGTGATTAAGCTGTGAAATTCCTTGACTCAGGAATTTGTGGATGGGCTTTTATTTTGTTGTATCCTGATGTTTGGGCAAGCAAACTGTCCTCTGACTTCCTTTGTTTCTTCTCAGCACTGTGCATCTCAGTACTCAGAGCTCTTGGAGACCACAGAAACCCCGAAGTGAGTACAAAGTCTCACCCCAGCACAGTCTGCAGCAGCTGAGGAGGGACTCGTGGGTTCTTACAGCAAAGTCCTTGTCATTGTTAAATTACTTTCTCCCCTAGCCAACTCCTCCCAAAAGGAGCATTTCAGAATGAGAAAATTCAGGTGGAATAGCTGTTGTGGGACGGTGGAGTCTGGGTTTGTCAGATGGGAAGGATAATATTTATTTGGCTGGAATAAAACACTGCGTATTAGTCTTACTGATCAGAAGCTCTACACATAAATTTGTCATTCAGAGTAGGGGTACAAAAGAGAAGGAGTGAGAAGGGAGATGTTTTGTATTCGTCACTATTTTGCAGTGGTTTCTTACAGTTTTCTTATCAGCATTATCATTACAGCTCTGTGATCTCAGTTATTTACTGCTCCTAATTCCAGGCATTTTGTTTGGGGACTTCACAGGATATTAACTTAAAGATGGGATGTTTAAAAGTAATATTTGTTTGTGACTGACTTGTTTGTGAATGATCTTCAGCACTAGAGTTACAAAATCAAAGAGCTTAGTAGAGTTAGTGAACAAAAAAATAGATGTTTCTTCCTGTGGAGAAAATAATTTTTTCTTGAAGTGGAAGGTTGTTTTCAGGTTGAGAATCTTTAGTGGAGTTACATCTTTGATCTGTTCCTAAAGACTTTAACGCTGGGTGAATTAGCAAAAATTTGCTGAAGAGATTGTTTGAACATTGTGCTAATGTAATTTAAGGGAATAGGAGGAAGTTGATTTTTTTTTTTTTGCATGAGCATGTCATGAATGACAGAAAACAGCCATTTACAAAAGAGGAATTGAGTTTTCTTGTGGTTTGTGTCTTGAGTTTTTCTTTTCTCTTATTCTGTAGAAGAAAACGTGGTGAGAAGGGAGAAGTTGTGGAAACAGTGGAAGATGTTATTGTGCGGAAACTGACTGCAGAGCGTGTTGAGGAGTTGAAGAAAATTATTAAAGAAACACAGGAAAAATATAGGTACATGACAGAGATGTAAAATGTTGCAAATCTGAGAGTCTTGTCCTGAAGAAGTAGTCCAAGTGGGATGGTGATTGGGGTGAAAATGCTGCTTAAGGTGTCCAGTTCAGTGATCAAAAAGTAAAAACATTTTATGATTACAGGCAACTCAAGAAGGATGCAGAGCTGATCCAGGCCGGACACATGGATAACAGACTGGAGGAGCTGTGCAATGAGATTATGATGTGGGTTATTTCATTATTTCTTCTGAGATTGTAGTTTCATGACACTCTGTTTGTCCAGCATCTCTTGTTCCACATAGTTTGGGTTAAGAGAAATGCCCAGCTGGGCAGATGCTTTGGCCTCTGAGGGGAGACTTGGCTTGGACTGGGGGCTACCAGCTGATGTGGAACATCCTTTGGAGTTGCTCAGTAAAGAGCTTGGCCATGGCTTGCAGAACCATGTGTGTTGCCACCATTCTGACAATTACCTGGAAGTGAAATTTCCTGCCCAGTGTGTCATTCTCTGGCTCTGCTGCATGCCGTGGGGGATTTGAGCCTGAGTCCACAGGAGTGGTTTGATGTTGTGTGGAGATAACAGGGTGGGCATCAGTAAAAGGCATTTTGAAGGGGGAATTAAGGGGAACTAAGACAGCCTGTGACAGCAGGTTTTTGTTCTTTGTACAGAAAGAAAAAAATGGAAGAGGAGGAGGCAGAAGTCAAGAGGAAGGCTACAGATGCTGCTTATCAGGGTAAGCTGGAAATGAAGTGCCTTAGTTTTCCTCACACTAATGCATATATTCATAAGAACATTTAGAAAATACTGAAGTCTTGTTAAGACCTACAGGAGGAATTACTTGACCCTGGAGTTGGAGTGAGAGGCTGTAATCTCTTTCTAGCACTATATTTGTAACAGTGTAGTTTCTGTTCTCTTCCAGCTCGCCAGGCCATTAAGAACCCACCTCGAAGGCTGACAGGGGTGATGGTTCGTTCTCCTGCTGGCTCCACCTCCCCGGGCGGGGATTATTCCCTCGGAGATCTGTCCCAGCCCGCTGGGGATGAGGCCAGTCCAGGGGTAAGGATCCTTCTCTGGCTAGGAGGGAAAGCCCAGCTTGGGACATGGGGCTCTGCATCCATCACAGAGAAGGGGCCTGGGGAGAAGCCCTTGCCTTGCTTTGCAGCCTTCAGGTGCTGTAGTGTGGTTGGTGATAGTCCTGCTCGAGATCCATCTCCTCTTCCCTGTCTCTGGTGATCCGGTGCCTGGATCAAAGACCGTGTAGGGGCATCAGTGGGTTGGCCAGGCAGTCTGTGAGTGCCTGGGAAATGGCTCTGCAGGGCAGGGAAAGGGTGAAAGCACATGCCTGGAGTAGGAGCAGTGAGTGAATGGAGTAGGTGTCTGTGGTGTGCTGGATCAATGCTCTTGGGGGAAGCAGCAAGTGGGGCTGGTCCGTGTGGTGGAGTGTGGCTTTGAACAGTGTGGTTTTTCTCTTTCTCAGGTCACGCCAGGGACATTGCCCAGCACCCCAGTTGCCTCCTTCATTGGAATCCCTGACACCCCTCCAGGCTCTGCTCCCCTGGATGCCCCCATGACCCCAGTCACTGATGATTCACCCCAGAAAAAGATGCTAGGACAAAAAGCAACTCCGCCTCCTTCCCCTCTGCTCTCAGAGCTGCTGAAGAAGGGCAGTCTCCTGCCCACAAGCCCCAGGCTGGTATGGAGCTCTCTGCTGATATATGCAAGCACACAAACAATTTGCTCCAGACTCTCCCACTGAAAAAGGGGGATCTGCAAAGAATTTTAAAAAATGTGCAGTTTTGTGAGAGTCCCAGCAGAAGTGATAATCTGAGAGGTATAAATACCCCTGTGAGCTGCAGAGGTGAGCCCCTTTCCCAGCAGGACTGCAGGGCTCATGCAGCACGTAGGACTGGCTGTACCCTCAGTCATAAGGAGTTGGAGTTGCAGGGTTTGCTAGAGGAAATAGTTCTCCTCAGGGAAGGGAACTTGTTAGTCAGCATCATCCCCATCAGCCTCCATGGTCTTCCTGGTGATTCCTACACTGGGCTCACAGTTCTTTACACCTTGTCAGGAAGTCCTGTTCAAATATTTTTCATGTGTACAAGAGTAGGGAATCCTTGAATGGCACTTACCACCTATACAGAAGTGCTTCAGTTCTCTCCTAATTGTAGACAGTTACTAAAATCACTGTGATGAGAACCCACTTGTGGTGTTGGTGACTTGGGAGATGCTGACACTGTTCAGAGCCCAGTCTGACAACAGCAGCCATCAGCCTGCTTGTGACACAGATTCCCTGGGTTATTGCTTGTGTGATGGAGTAGGTGTGTTGCTGTTGACTTTTTCTTCATAGTAGTCAGATTTAGGGTTTTTTTTCTATTTGTTAGCTTGGGTAAATGTTCCATGGATTTTGTGTCTGCAGGATGTAACATAAAGTGAAGCAGGGAATGGTAATGGCTGTGGAAGGCTGAGTTTTCTTTGTAGGAACAGGACTGGTTTGCATCTGTTTCAAGGTCCATCATAGGTTCACTGTGTGACCTTGAGCAAGTTACTTTTCATCTTGGTACTTCTGCTTCTCTTAACCCAAAACAAGGGATATTTCTGTGCCATCTCAGGGTCTAGAGAGACTTATATGTGTAAATGATTGTGAGGTGCTTGAACAGAAGAATTGCGATAGAGCAAATGATGCACTTGGCCTCGCCTCAAAGGAAGATAGCACTGCAGCTGTGTTACAGCTGAAGAACAGCAACAGTTTCAGACTGTCATGTTCTGCACTTGTGTGAGGGGCCTCAGGCAGGGACTAACCTGAATAAAAAGTGCAGAAGAAATGCTGGGACACCAGATGCTGGTCCTGTTCATGGAGGTGCACATCTGGCAGAGAATCACTGGTGTGGTGGTATCTCCAGGAACTTGAGTCTCGTCCTCCTTTGACAGGTCGGTGAAAATGAAATGGCAGTGGCTTCTGGTCACATGAACAGCTCTGGAGTGCTGCTGGAGGTAGGAAGTGTCCTTCCAGTGCTGCACAGTGGGGAAATGCAGTCAGCACCTGGTGCTGTCCCTGCATCTCCAGCTGCTTCAGGTAACTCGGGCCTCTCCCTGTACAGTTCTCCCTTAAGATATACCTTCAGACTGTTCTGGGCATATTCTTGGGGGAAGGATGTCTACCTGGCTGGTTTGGGAGCTTCTCTATCAGTTGTATTCCTATTTCTGTAGCCCTGTCCATCTCACCTCTAATTTTTTAAGAAGACCCAATCCTTAAAAGAGTGACTGAAGCAACTGGGCTTGATTCAGTCCTGATCCATGCAGTCTGGTTTTCTGGGTTTGGCACTGGCTAATGCCAGGCATATGAGTGTAGAAAGAAAGGGTTTGTTCACAGGGAGTTGGGGAAAAAATGGTCTAGATCTGATTCCAAACATGTCAAGTGCAGCTGCCTGTGGATCTGGAGAACTCATGTGCCTTCCCTCTGCTGTATCTTAGAGATCTGTTGAGAGTTAGACCACTGAGCTCCAGAGGAAGTTCCACAGACTGAGGGTGAGGGGAACAGTGCAAGACTCTTCATTGGGCTTTTTCAGAACCACTTGCCTAAAGAAGTTTTTTTTTTTCTCAGCTGCTGCTGACCAGTGATTTAATCACATTGTCTGCAACTGAGAATTTATATAATTCATTCATATAGAATTCCATACAAGTAATCCTGCTTTCCTTATCCATATCTGGGTTTTTAAGACCTGTTAATTTGGTCCATACAGTTCAGTAAATTCAGACTGGAAGTTACAGCTAAGATGAATGGCAACCTTTGATATAAGAGGAATTCTCCAGGAAAAACCTGCAAGGAATCCCCTCCACTCCCTCCTAGCTCCTGTGATGACTGTTTGTCTTGGCTTACCTTGTGTGGCGCTCTCAGCACTGTTTTTCAGATTTCCCATTATTGTTTTGGGATGAGCCTTTGGAAGGGCATCTCTGTGCATGTGTGGCTTAGTCTGTCCAGCCCTTGCAGTGAGTGTAGTGTTCTGTAGCTGCATGAATCTGCCTCAGATTGCACACACAATGGGAGTCATGCATTTTTTGGTGCAGGTTCTCTGTACAGCTTTTGGGACTCTATAGGTATCTCTCCATGTCTTTTCCCAGAAGAAGCCACCAGCCAGTGAAGAGCCCAGTGGTGGCTTTGTGGGCTTCAGTGGTGGCTGCTTCTTGCTCATGTGCTTTTCCCTTCTACTCTCTGTTAGGTGCTCCTACGCTTTCCCGGCTTTTAGAAGCTGGTCCTGCACAGTTCACCTCACCTCTTGCTTCCTTCTCCGCTGTTGCCAGCGAGCCTCCAGCTAAGCTCCTGCCACCCCCCGTAGAGCCTGTGTCCCAGGCCACTATTGTCATGATGCCCACGCTGTCAGCACCAGCCGTTGTGCCACCAGCTGCAGAAAGCGTAGCCACAGGTGCGTCCCTAACTACGCACTCAGAGGTCACGTCCAGAACTTCCCCTGGGATCACGCCCTGCGAGCTCTCAGCTGGGCCTTATCGCCTCAGACTGGCCACCCTGGCCAAAAAGCATGGTTATGGCTGGGTTCTGGAGTGAGCAGATGGTTTTAAACAGGGTTTGCTGGGTGGGGGTGCTGGTGATTTGCTGGACTGCGGTTCAAGGGTTGGAATCTCACTTTGTCTCTGCTGTGGGAAGGCAAACCCGTATTTGTCTTTTATTAACCTAAGCTGTGGTGGGATGGATGGGCCTGGGATACTTGTGGTTGGTGCTTGGTCTTACCCACTGCAGTGTTTGTTCATGTGGGGACTTCTCCAGCTTGGTCTCTGACTGTCCCTCTCATCCTTGTGCAGTGAGCCAGCCAGAAGCCTGTGTTTCCATGGAGGCAGTGTCTGATTCCCATACTGTGACAGTGTCTATGGACAGCAGTGAAATATCAATGATCATTGATTCCATCAAGAAAGAGTGCCTGGGTTCTGGGGCTGGCAGCACTGCAGGATCTTCCAAAGATCACTGCATGGATGGGAAAGAAGATCTGGATTTGGCTGAAAAAATGGATATTGCAGTGTCCTATACGGGGGAAGAGCTGGACTTTGATACGGTTGGAAATATTATAGCCATCATTGAGGACAAGGTAAATGGGGAAAGCAGAGTGCTAGTGCCTTTTGCTCCACGTTCAGTTGGGTTAATCTCAAATGATTGCTGTTCACCAGTTTAGTTTAAACAAGCAAGAAATAACTATTCCAGAATGCACATTCTCACCATCATTTTCCACATCAAGCCTGTCTGACACTGGTGGTCCTTTTCAGAGTACAGAAGGAAATGTCTTTCTTCCTTGGAGGGTAGGGTTTGGGTCATGTCTCTGGCAGACAGATGAGCACTGCTCACAGGATCCTTTCCAGGAGTGCCATATTTCTGAAATTGAAACTTCAGGACAAACTCTCACAGGGTGTGATACAAATTTGGCTACAAAAAGGAAACTTTGTAAACTGAGTAGACTGGGATTTCCACAATTGTTTCAGTACCAAATAACCTGAAGTTTTCTTTATTCCTCTTTCTAACCTCGGCCTGCACTGCTGTGTGTTTGTTTTGACAATAAAGGTAGACGACCACCCTGAAGTCCTGGATGCAGCAGTTGTTGAAGCTGCTCTGTCTTCTTTCTGTGAAGATACTGATGATCCTCAGACCCTTCCTGGCCCATGGGAACATTCAATTCGTCAGGAGCATGAGAAACAGGCCCAGATGCCACAAGTGTCTGTGACTGTGAAGCAGGAGAGACTGGAGTGCGAGGAGCCAGAGGCAAAGGGAATTCGAGACCTAATGGGCATCAGTGAGCTGGGGTCAGAAATAAAGACTGAACTTGCAGAGCAGGACCAGAATCAGCTGGGCCCTGAAGAAACCATACCAGCAACCTCAAGAGTGACAGAAACACCAGAGCTTAGAAACCAAGAGATAGAAGAAGACCAAAGAGCAGCTGTAGCATCAGGAGAGACTTCTGAAATCAAGATAGAGTCATCCCAGGCAGAAGATACAGTGCTCAATCCAGTGAAGACAGAGGTATGTGATCACAGAAGCTGCCTGGAACTGGTGTGGGGCAAGAGAGGAGCAGTTGTGGCAGGTAGGAGCAAAGTTTAGAGAAAGGATGAGTGCTGGGTTGAAGTGACCCTTCAATGAATGTGACTGACTGTTTTCCTGGGAGTCAAGCTGCTGATGTGCAGAGCAGCTCTGTTTTAGGCAGTACCTTTGTGTATCTCCCCCCACCCATGTGCAGAATTGCTGCTGAGAAGGTGCTCAGTGAACCTCATTGCCTGGAGTTAGGTTAGGGTGAGTGAGATGTGCCCACACCTTCACTGAAGTAAGCTGACACAAACATCTAGATTTGTGCATTTCTCTTCCCTCCAGACCCCACCTGATGATGATTCATCCCCTCCACAAGTCCCAAATGTGAGTGAAGACTCCTCACAGGCTGATGTTCAGCACAAATTTGAGCTGTCAGGTAACTTAATTCAGCTAGGAAATCTTTTACATAAAACATTATTAGCTGGATAGTTGTTAGTTATCTGGTTCAGTTTTTCTGGGGAGGAGGGAGAAAAGATACCTGTAGGAACAGTGGTAATTACTGCAGGACAGTAGGCGTTGGTGCAGGAGCTTTTGTAGGAAAGGCTGCTTGGGAGAATCAATCTTTCTGCATTTCTTTCTTTCACAGAGTCAATGAAGGAGGAAGCCCAAGCCCTGTTTAGGAGTCAGATGAAGGTAATTCCCTGTTGGTTTTAGTCATCTTGAGCTTATTAGCAATATCTTGCTGCTGCTGTGTGCTTGAAAAGCAAAGCTTGTGTTCAGCTTTCTGCACTGGGAAGTGAGCAGTCTGCAGCTGAAGGGGAGATTGCTTCAGAATGTGAAGGTGTTTGTATATGTGCTTTGGGTCTGTGGGGACAAGCAGGGCAGGCTGGAGAGACTGGGATTTTGTGGAAGTGCCTGTACAGTTGTCAGCAGCCTCAGAAGAAAATCACTTTGCTCACAGAACCGTAGTGGCTTTGGAGGCGCTGAGTGGCTGCTGTAGCTGGCTGTGCCAGCTGATGGACTCTGTGTTTCAGGATGGGCAGGGTGAGGAGGATGATGAGGACGGTGCCAGTGAGGCTGCCAGTTTGGAGGAACCCAAAGAAGAAGACCAGGGTGAGGGGTATCTCTCAGAGATGGATAACGAGCCCCCGGTGAGCGAGAGCGACGACGGCTTCAGCGTCCACAACGCGCCCTTGCAGTCGCACGCGCTCGCCGACTCCATCCCCAGCAGCCCGGCGTCCTCGCAGTTGTGAGTGTCAGGGCACGCAGGGACTGGAGGATTCCCATTTCTGCTTTGCTGAGTGGGTCCTAAGGGAGAATTTGTTGATGGTTTGTTTGGTTCTTGCTTACAAGGACTGGTGTGCAAACAGCACTCCAGTACCAGCTCCCACTTTTCCCTTCTGTCTTTGGTGTGGGTTAGCATGGGCATGTCAAGGACAAAACAAACCATGAGTTTTCTGCTCTGTGGCAGTGATCAGACTCCTGAAGGAATTATGTTCTTCTCTTCCCAGCTCAGTGTGCAGTGAAGACCAGGAAGCGATACAGGCTCAGAAGATCTGGAAGAAAGCCATCATGCTGGTTTGGAGAGCAGCAGCTAATCACAGGTGAGTTTGATGTCTTGGCAGAAAGAAGTGACTAATCCTAGACAAGTCTCCACTCTCCCATCTCAGAGGCTTATCTCTCTTGGGAGGGATGACTCATACAGACAAATGAACAGGAGAGCATGAAACAAATATTTACCAGCAAGGACAAACACTGAGTGGACTCCTTTTCTGTGCAGGTATGCCAATGTCTTCTTGCAGCCTGTAACAGATGACATAGCACCAGGCTACCACAGCATCGTGCAGAGGTGAGTCTCAGCGCTCTTCTGTCATTAGAACTCTCTATGTTTGCCTGTTTGTAGGCATTTCTGGCAGGAACAATGTAGTTTTTGCCTGCTGTGCAGACTTGGAAAAGTGTTCTTTTTCTGACGTGATTCATTCAGAAGCAGGTTTCCCCAAGAACAGTCATCATCAGTAACAGGCACGTGTCTGTACACAGTCCTGACTGAGTGAAGTACACTGACTTACACAGAACGTTTTATCAGGAAGGTGAAACTGGTCTGTTTCTCCCAGTTTCTATCCAAGAGTAGGATTTAACCTTTGGAATTCCTAGAAGCTGTTCTTTAATCAGTATTTTTTACTGTCCCAGATGGTGGGCTTTCTGGAAGAATTACCAGAATCCCCTACTAGCTGCTGAAATCTCTTGTAAACAGTTCAAGCTTAGTGGCTGCAGCTCTAGCTCCTTAGTTTCTCTTGTCGGTGGTGCCTGGAGAAGGCAGATGCCTCTCCTGAGAGATCTCTGAGGCTGTTGTTACTATTCCAGGTAACTGCTGGACACCTTGGGTCTTCTGACCCAGGCCTTGGTACTGGGGAGCACAGCCCGTGGGGGAGAACCTGTTCAGCTGAATAAAACCAACACTGTAACTAAACACATTACAGAGCCAGAGCTGTTTTCAAAGGAGGTGGGAAAGAGTTAAGCATTTCTGTTGCAATTTTCCCTGCATTTCTTTCACAGGCCAATGGATTTATCTACCATCAAAAAGAACATTGAGAACGGGCTGATCCGAACCACAGCCGAGTTCCAGCGGGATATTATGCTGATGTTTCAGAATGCAGTGATGTACAACAGCTCTGACCATGATGTGTACCACATGGCTGTGGAGATGCAGAGAGATGTCCTGGAGCAGATCCAGGTAGAGTGCTGAGCTGAGGCCAGTGCAGGACAGAGCATCTGCCTTGGTCCATAGGTCTGGCTGCAAGACCAGTTTCACTCCCAGTGTGTTTGAATGCAGTGGGTCCTGTCCTTCCCTGCTTCTTTCTCATGGTAGCTCAGGTGTTTGTGTTGAACTGGATTGTGGGTGAGTTAAAAGTAATGCAGCAATTTTTTTTATATGTTCATCCCTAGACCAATTTCAAATGTAATTTCCTTCAGGGAAATGCTTAGGCCAGCAAGAACCAGGGTGTGGTTCAGGAACAGAAACAAGTAACAAGAACGGTGAATGACATGGGACGCCGTGGCTTCTTTGGGTGGCTGTGCTGGTTTATATTGATACAAAGTGTACATGAAACTGCCTGTGAATTTATGCTATTTAAAATACCCTTTGAAGCAGAATGTCCCAGCTGGCAGGGCTGAGTTTGAATTGGGGTTTTGTAGTTCCTCAGGACTTGTGGCTTCTGAGGTAAATTGGGGAACTTATTCTGAGCAGCACACAAGGAACTGAAACTGCCTCTGACCCAATCATTCCCAGCCTGTGGTCTGTGATAGATAACTGACACGCACTTACTGAGCTCGTTTTGCTTGATAATCTTAACAGAGTGTGGTTTCCTTGCAGCAATTTCTGGCCACACAACTGATGATGCAAACATCAGAGTCAGGGATCAGTGCAAAGAGCCTGCGGGGGCGAGACTCCACTCGCAAGCAGGATGCTTCAGAGAAGGTGAGAATGCTGCACCCTGTGCAAGGGCACTTGGGATCTTCTGAAGAATCCCAAGATACTGCATGAAGTTCCCACACCAAGGAGGCAAAAGTTCCCACACAAGCATCTTCATGTGAACAACTTTTCTTTAAATGTGTGTATTGATTGTATTTCAGTTCTGGAACTGTACAGCATTCCAGAGGGAGGTCTCATGAGTTTTTCTGTAATCCAAATACTTCTATTACCTGGTTTTAAAAACAGGTGATAAAAACTGTAGGAAAATGAACAGTATTGGAAGAGGTGTGAATACTCTCAGGCACATGGTGTGACTCTTGGGATGGACCTGCAGGGCAGGGAGTTGGACTCAGTGATCCTTGTGGTTCCCCTCCAACTCCACAGATTCTGTGGTTCTATGGCATGGCAGAAAGGTGAAGGGAATTCCATATCCTTCACTTCCTAGTCAGGTTTTTAGAGCTAGAGAATCAGTCACCTCTGGTTTGCTGTGTAAAATACACCGGAGAACCTTTGAATTCCACACTGATCTAAGCAATGAAGATTTGTGGGTTTTTCTTCCATAAAGACACATGCAAACTTGATGAAGTGATCTTAGATACTCTCTGGTGCACACAACACTGTGACAGCAGGGGCTGCCTGCTTAGTTCTAGCGACAGCTGTACCGAGCAGGAATTGTTTGGTAGACCAGGAAAACTTGCTGTGGCTGTGGAGGGAATATCCCTTTCCTGGCATTCTGGCTCTCGCAGTATCCCTCTTTTTGTCTGTTTTTATGTTCCTGCTGCATAAGACTGACGCCCTGCAGGAAGGGGAGTGGGGCACATGTTCCTCTATGCTCACGTGTGGGCTCAGTGCTTCTGTGTGGTGTGTGCATTTCCGTAGCTGATGCCTGATAAGTCCTTCTGTTTGGCCTTTTAACAGGACAGTGTCCCAATGGGCTCTCCTGCCTTCCTTCTCTCTCTCTTTGTAAGTATTGAAAGGCTCCAGCAGGTTCTGCAGTACTGCTGCCAGGTGCTCTGCTCCTTGTCTGGGTGGTCACTGCACTGTCACAGCATCCTTAGCACTGCAGCAGGGTGTGTTTGACTTGGGGGCTGCACCACTGTGATCTGAGAAGAGACATCTCAGTCCCTTGTTCTCAAAATGGGTGAGCGGGTGGGGCTTCAGTCTTTTCTTCTGGTTCCAAGTGTTTTTTGCCATCTGCTTTTGCTTTTTTCCATTACTTCTCTCCTGCTTTCTTTCCATGTAAGTGGGAAGACAAACCAAGTGGTGCAGTCCTGTAGTTCCTACATCTCTCATGTTTATACAGCTGCCCCTCCAACACGTCCGAGGCAGTACAAAAGGTCTTGGGAGAGTGAGGAGTCAGCTGTGTGTCCTTTATCCGTTTCTGGTTCAGAAAGCAAATAAGACTCTGCAGAAATATCTTGCTCTGTGCCCGTGGTGATCTGGAAGTGTTTGGAAAAATACTCCCTCTGGGAAACCCCAAGTCTCTGAGTTACTGTGAGGAGAGAGTGGAGGAAGATGGAGAGCTGTCCTTATCTCTCACATGTATCTAAAGACAGAGGAGTACTCCAGGAAAGGCAGCAGATCAGCCAGAGAGAGGATCAGAGGAAGCTCTCAGCTCACCTTCTGCTCGTGGAAAGGAGCTGTGTGGAGGATCTAGGGAGCTAGTGCCAGGGTCACTCAGCTGGAGGAGCACTTCCCGTAGGGATCAGCAGCTGATAAGGTAGGTTAGTCAGCAGTTTTCCTTTTCCCACCTTAAGCTAGAATCTGCTGCTTAGGAGAAAACCTGCACTGTCCAGGCTCCAAAAGCATCTGTCTGGGCCAGAGGTGTTGCCTCTCTCTGCCCTGGCTCCAGGAGTGCAGAGATGCTGCCAAGCCCAGCACCCTGCTGTGTCCAGATCCAACTTAAGTTAGGTCTGCAGGCAGGCCTTGGCAGGGACAGCTTCCCTTTCTCCTGATGGGAAGGCGTGAAAAGTTGTTGCCAGATACAGAATTCCCTCCCTCCCTCCATCCCGCGGTGCGCGTTCCCGTGGCGTTGTGTAACTCTGTTTGTTTGCCTTGTGAGCAGGACGGAGGCACCAGAGGGCGGCGCTGCGCCATCGAGGCAGACATGAAGATGAAAAAATGATGCTGCAGACACAAAATCCCAGCAAAATCCCAGGCAGCCGGAGCTGGAGCGCAAGCAGGCAACTCTTAACAGCTGTTGGAGGAAGAAGAAAAGCTGCAGGTCCATTTCTGACCTGGTTCACCACCTCGCTTGCCCTTCTGGAAAGCAGTGTTGTGTCAGAATGTGTAACCCAAAGAAACTTCCCTAGAGGGGAAGACCAGCCCCCCTGCCTGTTTTAGGGCAGTCATCTTGGGCTTCACACATCAGTGTTCTGGTGTTAGCTAGCAACTGGTGGCTCGTATGTACTGTAATGTGAAGTGTACAGATTTTTACTAGTGATGTGTAAATGTGATGTATATTAAAATCTGGGAACAAACCAGTGTGCAGTGTACTGAGCATCGGTACAAGCCTGGATCCCCACCTGGAATATCTGCAAATACAATTCTTTTCCAGTTATCCCTAAAGCACACATGCATGGCAGAGCTCTGATGTTAGAGACAGTCCATAAATCACGGGAATGCTGCACAGTGCTTGGATGGAGAGGAAGATTCCCTGCTTGAGTGTGTGAGGATATGGTACCACTGTGGTGACACTGGAGATCAAACCATGAGAAGTTAAATACTGCAATCTTGTTGGAGCTTTCCTTAGGAGAAAATGCATTGAAAAGGACTTGACATTCTTTCCCCAGAGATCTGGGGAGGCTGCACTAGTCAGAGTTAAAATCTGTAATCCCAGCACCCGTAGGCAGGATTGCCAGTACCTGGTTTCACATCTGAGCTTGTGCACTGTTTCTTCTGGGAATTACAGTCCTTTTCCTCAGCATCAGGAAGGTTTGAGTTCTCTGCGAAAAGTTCCAAATCACTTTTTCTGCTCATATGACCCGAGATGAAACTTGCATGTTTTCTGCCCACACAACCTCTCCTGGGGGAAAAGAAAACAACAGAATGACACCATCCTTGATTGCTGCAGCAGCTGGGAGTGCTCTGCACTCCGTGCAGCATATCCAGGGTGCAGCTTTCTGGTAGACAGGTTTCAGGAAACTGAGTCACTGGGATTAAGACCAGAGGCATTGTTCCCTTATCCAGTAAGAGCTCTCAATTTTCACAAGTTCAGTGTTGAAGTTGGCTGTGCCTGCTGTGTCAAGTCCTGTGTATTGCTGAGGTAAATTTTCACCAAGAGTCACCTTACTGATGAGGAAATGCTGAAACTCCCTTGGATTGGTGATTGGTTAGTTGTATTTCACTGCTAAACCCAGGAGCAAATTTTTGGTTTGAATTTTTATTGTTTTCAGCACAAAAAGTTACAGGGGTCTTTGTCTTTCATGCATTTTATGGAGTGATTTCAGTTAGGTACAAACATTTAGCATTGCCTGTTGTGACAGGACAAGGTAATGGTTCTAAACTAAAAGAGGGCCTATTTAGACTGAATGAAGATTTTTTTTTTTCACAATGAGAGTGGTGAGGCCCTGGCACTGGTTACCCAGAGAAGCTGTGGAGAAGCCTTCATCCCTGGAAGTGTTGAAGGCCAAGTTGGATAAGGCTCTGAGCAACTTGAAATAGTGGAAGGTGTCCCTGCCCATGGCAAGGAGGCTGGACCCAGGCAGCCTTTAAAGGTCCCTCCCAGCCCAACCTGTTCCATGAGTATAAGCTGGAAAAAACCTCTGTGTTGCTCAGAGCAGGGCCAGCTTCAAATATTTATTTTATACCCAGTCAGAATCTCCTGTGGTGCAACTTGTCATCCCTGTCTCCTTTCACTGTTGGGCTCTGAGAAGAGTCTGGCTCCATCTCTGTAACACCTCTGCCCTGGCACTGTCTCTGCTGGAAAACTGAAGGTGCAGCACAGGAGAAGACCTTTATCAGACCTTCTGGTGACTTCCTTTCACCATAGCAAGCATTGCTGTTCCTTCCTACCCTTGGTTTCTTCTCCTAACCAGGTGTTTTTTTCTCTCAGCCTTTTCTCCCATGACATTTTAATAGTCTTTAATGATGTTTAAGAGCTTTAAAGTTCCAAGCTAGGATTTTCTCTACAGAGCCTTATTCCCTCTTTCCCAATTTATCATCTCATGCTCTGACTACTTATTCTCTTCTTCCTAATACTTTGTTCTCATCTGTCTAGTACAGAGCTGATGTTTTATTGTGCTGCATCTCCCAGCACCCACCCTTTTACAGACAGGTAAAACCGTCACCCCTTTCTGGTTTTATTCTTAAATGACAACTTACACAGCATAGGCTCAGTCACGTTATATTTAAGCTTCTTTAGGGCTCACAAATGAATCCCAGTGGGTTCTAAGGTTTATTCACTCACACAAATTGTTCTAAAATCTCCCCTGTTGACATTTTAATTAGATATTGTCTCTCAGACCCATCCCAAGAGAAGGTCTCATGTGAGCTCCTCTGTGGCAACTGCTGATAATGATGATTAATTTGGTTTTTCCAACTGGCCCTATTTTCCACTGAGATATTTGGCACTGATCGTGTGTCATCCCCACTGATCATCTGGCAGCTCTCTGCTTCTGATGTTTTTGATGAGGTTTTTTGTTTTTATTTGCTTTTATGTCTTTAGCAAATTGTTCTCTTTTTCTTTTCTTTTTTTTTTTTTTTGCCTACTTTATGTGGATTCTACATTTCATTTATTACAGTTCAGGCTTTTATCATTTTTATTGTTTTGACATGTAAGTTCTTTTTAAAGGCTGTCTTTTTGATTTCTAACAGCTTTTTCCCAGAACAGCAAGGGTTGTGCAGTGTCTGATGTCTGCAAAGTGAACTAAAACTTTCCAGTTTGAGAGAGGTTCCTTGCTAGTGACTTATGTAGCCAACATAATTAAGATCTGTCAGGCAATTCTTAATTAAAAGTTCAAGTCTGTGTCATTTTGTCCGGAATTGGTGATAGCTGAGCTGTCTGTGATTATTTCACTCATCATGTCTTGCATTAGCACTGCTGTGCTGCTCTCTGGCATCTTGAGTCTTCCAAGATTTGGTAACACTGAACATAAGGCTGAAGATCTCTTTAATCTTATGCCCAAGTTCCCAGGGCTTCCTGATTTTCAGCATTTATCCCTCTGGAGCACAGAAGGATGATCACAAGCGATCAGATTACCCCAGGCTGAGGCTTTTCTGTGCCTCTGCATGTGGCAGCTCTGCTGAGGCTGCAGGAGAGAGCTCCAGGCACAGGGTTTCTCCTCAGATGGAATCTCAGTTTGCCCAACTCCCTCACCTGGAAGCTGAGAGTAGGTAATGTTATCTCCTACCTCATCAAATTTCATCTGCTGCCACTGAAGTGAACTTTGAAAGAGGTTTCAGAAGGACAGGCTTCCAGATCCCAACTCCGCTTGCAAGTTCACAAAATAAGCAAAGCAGTGTTCTCATCCCAGACCCAGTGGATTCTGTATTTCTCCCAGTTATGCACCATAAGCTGAATTTGGAGATGTGCTAGGAATCCTGAGAATGGAAAAGCCAATCAGTGAGAAATATACTTGTTCAAAACTCTGAAAAAAATCAGGTTGTACATAATTAACTGAAGACTCTAAAGACAGGGTTAATTAATGCATAGAGTTCTCCATAGGTGCAGCATCCAGGCAGCTCCATTCAGTGGCAAGATGCAGATTTTGTGACATCCTTAACTGTTGTACTGTGACTCTGCAATCAATTCCCCAGGCTTAGAGGACTCAGAGTGCACTCATGCAGTAGAAGACATTTAGGCATGGACTAATGAACAGAGATTAAATGAGTGGTTTCTTCCTTCATAAGAGAATGCAAGCTTTTATTTTCTGCAGTGGATAGAACTGTGCCTGTTGGTGTGTGACTGTGTGGTTATAATTCTTCTGGCTCAGGTACATGAGATATCACCATCCAAATAAATCACACCTGCCACTGTCAAAACTGTGTATGTAAGGTCGTTAAAGTAATTTATCTCCAGAATAAAAAGTTCTCAGGGGGCAACAGGTGGAATTTCAGTGAGTTGTCCTTGGAATCACCAGTTGTTCCCAGCACTCAGCAGCTGAGGAGCCCCAGCAGGGCTCAGTCTGAACTTGCTGGATGCCTTCAGTGCCTGAAATATGGAACATCAGCAAAGCCATGTGCTTCCAGACAGCTCAGCACGCCCTGAGCAGAGTGATGCACTGACCAGGGCACGGAGAGAGCACAGCAAAAGCACCAGAAAACCTGAAATTCAGTTGCTCTGAAGCAGCAGTTTGTGCTGCAGAGCTGCAGCCCTGCCATGTGCTGTGTGATGAGCTCAGGGGCAGGCTGCTCACCTCAGAGTCCTTCCCCTGCTGTGGCCCTCCAAGCGTGTCAAGAAATGAGCTGAGCTTGTCAGTTCTGGATCAGGGTACAAAGAAATTGCTGTATTTTCATTGTTTGCAGATGGGCCATGCCTGGAAGTCTGAGTTGGAATCTCCCATCGAGTCAGAGAACAGTGATTTCCAGTCTCTTCCTGACTGGGATTCAAGCTTGGATCTGGATGTGACAAGCTGGAGAAATCATGAAGAGGAGGCCGTGGGGAAGGTAGAGGGGAGCAGCCCAGAGGCAGACCATGAGATGGAGCTGCGTGAGCCTCTCTGGAAGAATGGTAGTGAAGATAACCATGAGGCAGAGAAGCCATGTGAAAGTGACAGTTTTTTCCAGTTCCTCTTGGAGGTAGGGCTGTTTGGATTACAGGAAGGTGGGCAGCATAGTTCAGGCTCTCCTGAAACCTTGGGGTTTTCAGGGCCTGCACCACCCATACCAACAGAAACAGTCTGAGAGCGCAGCAGAAGCTCTGGGTTCACTTTCTCCCCAGCCCAAGTCCAGCCTTTCCTCCCATTTGGAGCTCCCACTGCACCCAGGCAGCTGTTTTGCCAGAACACTGCTCACCCTTAAGCACTGAAATGTCAGAGAACTGACACTGTAATAATAACACAGGGCTTCATCAGATTTTGCAAGGATTCCTAAAAATGGAAAGGCGTTCGTGAGCGATTGCAAAAATAGCATCTCTGCTGTTTATTTCTTCTCCCTTTTGCCTTCACAATTCGAAGTAATAAATCACTGTCTTGCAGGTAACCCAGATGTTGGAATCTCTCTGCATTGGCAGCACAGAGTCGTCGCAGACTCCGTGGGATTATTGTGGCTCAGGGAAGTGGAGTGATGGGGAAGAAGAGAAGTGCCAGGAAAAGACCACAGGAACAGCAGTCTCGGGAGCAGAGGGAGCTCAACTGCACATCCTGGCAAAAGATGAGGAAGAACACTTCCTGGGAAGAGAGGTAAGAGAGTGGTGGTCCTAAAAGAGCCTCTGGCCCTGGATAAGAGATGAGACAGTGAAGAAAACCAGCTCTAGAAGAGATGGGGAGCCCCAGGTTCTGAGAGGGGAGACAAAACACACAGGAGGAGAACACAGAAAAAATGTATGAGGGAAGGGTGTTTTTTATGTATGGCTGTGTATCTTTATAAACAGGAAGCTTGTTACAGATGAAACCCTCAGATGTGAGTTGGAGGAATTTCTCCTTGGCAGTGTAAAGGTGACTCATGAGAGCTGGCAGGCTGCTCTCAGGTTTAAGGCAAGGTTGGAATACTTGCCTGGTTCTAATTGCTGTGTTTTGCAGCACAGCTTGGTTGGTTTCAGGCCCACGTGGCTGTGCCAGCAATAACCATCTGCCCCTGGGGACTGTCATGTCTTAGAAGCAGGCACTGTCTAGCCTGGGTTTGCATCAGTCTTGTGTTTGGGGGCTGTGGGCTGCCACCAGCCTGCTGGGTGTTCCTGGGAAAGCAGCACAGCAGTGGAGGAACAGGGCCATTTTTCCACACTTGTTCTCTTGCAAACTCAGGACATTGGAGACAAATAAGCTCCAGGATTTCACCTGTTCAGCCAGGACAGTGTGTTCCCTTCAGTTACTCTGCTCTCAACTGCTGTTATTCCCAGCAACTTCCTCCCTGTTCTCCCAGTGGTCACAGCCAAACACAGAGTGTCCAGTTCCTTTCTGAGAAGTCTGCTTATGCTTCAGATCTCGTGAGGATTCTGAGGTGATCCGGCATGAAATCCCACTGAGCTTTTTCCTGGCAAACCACTACAACAGCAGCACCACTCTCCTTCCTGGCTGAGTCTATTCCCTGTCATTTTAACGTGGGAGTTTGTGAAGAAACAGCCTTGTTGAACTCTAGGGGTTCCTGTTATCTGTATCTGGAGTTTTAACACGCCTAAGGCAGTCTTACCTCAGCTCCTGATTGCCCTCTCCACATCCATGACTCTTCCCAGAGAGCAGACACAACACTGGGCACCACTCAGCTCCCCAGGGTTTGTGTCAGCCAGGGGTGGATGCCATCCAAGAGATCACACACAGCTCCTGCTGGGAAGGTCTGAGTGAGGTCAAGCAGCATCCTCTGAGTAACAGAGCAGGCAAGCTCCCAGCTGAGCCTGGATGCAGGAAAGGGATATGCAGCAGGTTGGCTTCTAGGTAAAGGATTCAGGTAATGTGCTGCCATTTTAGATGTACCCTCTGTGCTCTTCAGGGCAAGACTCAAGAGACACCTGGAGAACTCCCTGTAGATGAGCTGCATCCTCCTGAGATGAGTGCTCAGGCCCTGGATCAGGATGACAGTGACAGCACCTCTGCAGACTCAGTGCTGGACTCCACAGGCTCTCCCAACATGCACCTGTAAGTAGCTGGATCTGCACTCTTGCAAATGCAGCAGAACAGAGTCATTCCCTTGTCACACGTGAGAGAGAACAAGTGCATGGCACAGGTCACATCCAGGAAGGTGAGATAGCCAAGCAGAGCAGGAGGGAAGGAGGTAACTTGTGCTATCTCTGGATTTGCTGGCATTATAGGGCATTGATCCTAAGATGAAGTGAGAAGAGTAGAGATTAAATAAGAGATTCTATGGCAAACATGCTTTATGTTTTCTCAAGTCAAATAAGGCTGGTGTGAGCTGCACATCAGGCTCTGTCAGGCAATGCACAGCCCAGCATTACCAACCCCTTTGAGCAGGTGCAGGTGTGTCAGTCACATGCAGGCTCTGCCACATGTGTGATGACCTGCACTGCCTTTCAAAGGAAAATATTTTGGGAAGAGAAACTTCATAAAAACCACCTCAAGTAAAGTTCTGAACTGCAGAGCACCTTAAGTTTTCTATCCAGTTTGGTCCTGCTCCTTATACTCAGCTTTGCTTTTACCTCTTGTCCTGCATTTTCCTGCACTCTGGATGTTCAGTTGCATTCTGATGCAGAACACTCCCACCATCACACTCAGGCTTTTTGTAGCTTCATCCACCTGGATGTGGTGAGAGCCAGCAGAATTGTCACCTCCTACTTTGTCTCGAGTGTGATGATCTGGCAGTATCTTCACTCCACAGGCTGCAGCCAAGCTGGAATAAACCCCTCCAGCACCTGATCCTCAAAAAAAAGCTCCTGTCCATCTGGAGGATGATAGCCAGCCACAGGTATGTGGGAGCAGAGGGCTGCATCAGCATGTCCTGAACACACTGCCTGAGTCCCAGCTCCTGTGCCACCAGTCCCAGCTCCTGTGCCACCAGTCCCAGTCCTCCCCTCCCAGGGGCTGGCCTGTCTCTCCAGGGCTTTGCTTTGGGAACAGCTGCCTGCTGCAGAGCTGGAAGAACACTGCATATTGATTTCCTCTGCTTAATGTGGCAGAGCCCAAATGCTCCTTCCCACACAGCTGGCACAACTCTGGCTGAGCATCAGGGCCAGCAGGGAGAGGCAAACCCTGCTCCATGTTTTTGGAGCAGGGGCAGGCAAAGAACATTCCTTGTCCTTGTCCCTATAGGTTCAGCAGCCCGTTCCTGAAGCCAGTGTCAGAGAAACAAGCCCCTGGATACAGGGATGTGGTAAAGAGGTGAGTTTGTGGAGGAAGTGCTCACTGGCTGATCTCTCTCAGGTTGTTTTCTGTCTTCTCTGGTTTCCCAAGGGCCAGTGGGATGGTTTCCTCCCTCCTTTTCCAGAGTTTGGCTGTCACCAGCATCTCCCCCTGATTCCTTTCAGTAAAACTCCCTTCTGGGTAATTAGAACCCTGGAAGCCTGAACTGACTCTGGAGCTGGTGGGAATTGTGCCTGTCCTGTGCAGGCATTGCATGGCTGGCTCATTGCAGGCACAGTAGCTGGGCAGGGGATCCAGGCCCTGCAGCTCAGCAGTCCCTTCTCCCCATGCCTGGAATGTGCCTCAGGAGATGCCCCTGCCTCACCCGCTGCGAGCGCCCCAGATGTTTCACTCTCAGCACAGAAGTGGGTCATAAGAATATTTCCCAGAGAGATTAATGGCATTTTTTCAGAGCTGAATCATGTTCTATTCTGGTCACAGTTGTCCTCTCTGCAGCCATTCATTTTCCCATTCTGTCAAAATAAGGGAAGTAATATTTATTGCCTATCATGTTCCCCTTACCAGCAGTGCTATTTTTGCTGGTGGCACCATTCGATCTTTAGGGGGTTTAATAGATACCTATTTTAGTAACTTTTCTTTCTCTACTAAGACCTGGATTGACTTCCTGAAGACTAATTACTGCTTGCCTTCTCTGGAGCTCAGCATCCCATTTTTTCCAGAGGTGACTGCTAATGACCTGCCAAGTTGATGGGATAGCAAGTGTCGCATTGGCTGAACTCACTTTTGTCTGGCTTGGAAGAAAAGCCTTTCTCGCTCCCCCCTGTGTTTCTTGAGCAATAAAATTGATTTAAAATAGCTGTGCTTTCAGGGCCACCCTGAAATGAGAACAAGCACATTCACGCAAATCCCAAAGGATGCCTGACTCTGGGTTGCAATTTCATTCTTCTCCCCTCTGTCTTTTGCAGACCCATGGATTTAAGCAGCATAAAGAGGAGGCTGTCAAAGGGACACATTCAGTCCGTGATGCAGTTCCAGTGTGACGTGATGCTCATGTTCCAGAACGCCGTGATGTACAACAACTCCAACCACCGCGTGTTCCACGTGGCTGTGGAGATGCAGCGAGAGGTCTTGGAGCAGCTGCAGGTCTTGGCTGAAGCCCTCCTGTTGTCTAGGGACAGGCTGGAATGAGGCAGAAGGTAACCAGCCCTGCCTGAGGCCTCTCTCAGCTAAAACAGCATTGTCTCCGTGGGTCAGGGCATCTCCTGAGCTCAGGGGATGTGCTGCTGTGGCCTTGGGTAGATATTCTCCCCAGTGCTGGCTGCTGGGTTAATAGGTTGATTCAGAGCAGTTTTTGTGAGGGTACCATGTTGGAAGCCTCCATTCTTTTTGGGAAAAGCAGCGATGTAGCCCTGCAGGAAGAAAAGTTCCCTGGGATGAAAAGCAAGGGAGAAAATGCTGTGTGTGGCCAGGTGGATGAAGCGGGCGCAGCTGCTGAGGGTGGCTGGCTGCACACCGGGCACGGCAGCATTCCCGTGTGGAGGTTGTTGTGATCTTGTGTTGGGTCGGGTGGGTCCGGCGTTAGCAGCACTGACCACACCCAATAAAGGCCCGTGTTGGAGCTTGTCCCGGCCTGCCTGACACTGGGACTGGGACTGGAAGGGGTCCAGAAAGGGAACTGGAACTGCGACTGGGACCGCGACTGGAACTGGGACTTGGGGTCACAACTGGGACTGGATCCAGAAGTGGAATTGGGACTGGGACTGGGGTTGTGACTGGAACTGGGACTGAGACTGGAACTGGGAGCATGACTGGGGTCGCAACTGGGACTGGGAATGGGACTGGGACTGGGTCCAGAACTGGGACTGGGACAGGGACTGGGGGTCTGGAACTGGAACTGGGACTGGGTCCAGAACTGGGACTGGGACTGAAATGGGGACTGGGACTGGGACTGAAATGGGGACTGGGACTGGGTCCAGAACTGGGACTGGGACTGGGTCCAAAACTGGGACTGGGACTGGGACTGGGACTGGGACTGGGGCTGGAACTGGGACTGGGTCCAGAACTGGGACTGGGACTGAAATGGGGACTGGGACTGAAATGGGGACTAGGACCGTGACTGGGACTAGATCCAGAACTGGGACTGGGACTGGGGCTGGGACTGGGTCCAGAACTGGAACTGGGTCCAGAACTGGAACTGGGTCCAGAACTGGGACTGGGACTGGGTCCAAAACTGGGACCGTGACTGGGACTGGAATTGGGACTGGGACTGGAACTCGGACCGGGTCCGGGACTGGGACTGGGTCCAAAACTGGGACCGTGACTGGGACTGGAATTGGGACTGGGACTGAAACTCGGACCGGGGCCGGGGCCGGGAAGGGCGGGACGGAGCGCGTGGCCGGGGTAGTACAAACGCGGGTCGCCATTGGCCGTCCCGGCTGTCTGTCACCGCCAGCGCGGCTGCCGATTGGCTGCGGGCGCGCTGGCGGCGCGTGCCCCGGCAGCGGAAGCGGCCTGGGGTGGCCATGGCGCGGGACAAGCCGGAGGCGGCGGCCGAGGCGGAGGCGACGCCGGAGCTCTCGTACCGGGAGCAGCTCGACTTCCTGAACCCCATCGCGCAGCCGCTCGCGTCCCGCAAGCTCACCCGAAAGCTGCTCAAGTGCATCAGGAAAGGTCCGGCGTGCGGCGGGGGTGGGGAGGGGCCCCTCATGGCGGGGGCGCGGTGCGGCCCCTCACGCTGCGGTTCTCGCTCAGCCCCTCACGCCGTGGTTCTCTTGCAGCCACCAAGCACAAGCAGCTCCGCCGCGGTGTGAAGGAGGTGCAGAAGTTCATCAACAAGGGCGAGAGGGGGTAAGTGCCGCCCCGGCCCCGAGCCCGGCCCCGAGCCCGGCCGCTGACACGGGTGTCCCTGCAGGATCACGGTGCTGGCCGGAGACACACTGCCTATCGATGTCTACTGCCACATCCCCATCATGTGCGAGGACAGGAGCCTCCCGTACGCATACGTCCCTTCCAAAACCGTGAGTGCTGGGGCGGGGGAGGAACCGGCCCCGGTGACAGGAAACCCGGTGGGCAGCCCGGGCTGTGACCGGAGCCTTCCCGGGTGGTGCAGATCCGGTGCCCGAGTAAAGAACTCGGTGTTTGTCCCTGACCAAGGCACAGAAGGGACGGGGGGAGGTGTAGGAGTGTTTCATTGTGGAATCACAGAGCTGTCATGATCGAGTTCCTGCAGCAGCTCCGGGACAGAGCCAGCACATCTTTTCCAGGCTTCTCTGGGGTGGGGCCAACTCTTTTGCAGACTTGGGTGGGCAATCGGTGTCTTTGGAGCTTCAGCCCCAGTGCAGGCAGCTCTGCAGACCCGCTCTGGGAAGAATAATGGCACATGAGCCAGGTGCCAGTCCTTTCTGCCAGCCCAGCTTGCAGCTTGTAGGAGACAAGCTGGGAAAAAAGTTTATGAGGTTCTCACCTCGGGAAGGGACCTGGCCCCCCATGGCCTCCCTGTGTTCCCTCAGGACCTGGGAGCTGCAGCGGGCTCCAAGCGCCCCACCTGTGTCATCATGATCAAGCCCCACGAGGAGTACCAGGAGGCCTACGACGAGTGCCTGGAGGAGGTGTCGGCCCTTCCCCTGCCGCTGTGAAGAGCCGGGGCCGGGCTGTGCCCTGCGGGCCGAGCCGGGTCCCTGTCCCTCTGCCCAGGGGCCGCACAGCTGTTTCTGGGGACTCTGCCGAGAGGACTGCTGGGGGGATGCTGAGCACTGTGGGGTGAATAAAGGTGTCTGCGGGTTTGTACAAAGTGTTGCTGGTGCTCGGGGGGGGGGGAGGGCTGGGGTTTCCACGGCTGGGTTAAAGCACAGCACAGCGGGGGTGAGGCTGCCCCGGAGCCCACCCGGCCCACTGGACTGGCTGGGCAGGCCCAGCCCGGCCCCACAGCATCCCCCTCACCCCCACCCTCATGGCCATGAGCCCCCCGACCCCGAGGGAAGCGGAGCAGAGGCAGGGAGAGAGAAATGCAGGTTTATTGCAGGAACGGGGTGCGGAGCCGGGCCCAGCCTTCACGGTTCTGTTACACACACAGAGCAAGGCTCTTTCCTTCCATCGCCTCTGGGCTCCCCAGCTCCCCCTCACCTCCCCTGGAAGAGGGGACCCCAGCCTCTTTCCCAGCTCGGGCACATGCCCCAGTTCTCTCTCTATCCCTGTTCCTCCCAGTGTGGCAGAGCACCAGTTCCCATCCCTCCGTGCACAAGGCATTCCCCCATCTCAGCCCGAAGAAAGCTGCACCAACCACCTCCATTGCAGAGCAGCTCCACACTGGGCACACGAGAAGAGAAGCACCTCTGCTGGGGCAGCTGCCCCCTCCAGCAGCTTCCTCGGGGTTTCCTCTCTGCCTGCCCAGAGGCACCACCAGCCCCAGGGCCCTGCTGACAATGCAGCCACTGCAACAGCAAGGCCGTGGGGTGGGGGACAGGGCTTAAGCTGCTCCTCACAAGACATTAAGTTACTGGGTTGTAGGAACAGGGGCAGCAGAGCAGGAGGGACAGGGAATGTCTCACAGGGTGCTTGGTTTCTGCCCCCATGGCAGAAGGAATCACAGGGCAAACACTCCTGGAGTCAGAGCAGGGGGCACATGCAAGACCCCCACCCTGGCACAGATGACCCCCCCCGCCCTCCAGAGACCCCCAGCAGAAGGGCCTGAAGTGCTGCAAGAAGGAGAAGCTCCCCTGTGGCAATCGGTCCTTCAGCCCAGGGCAGCGCCGAGCAGGGCCAGTCCTTGTGCACACCCTGAGATTGTCCCACTGCAGCGGCAAGAGACCTTCCCCCTTCTCAGTCCCACTGGCATCCTGCCCCTCAGATCTTGGAGGACTCCACCCGCTCGATCCAGGGCGAATCGACCCTGACATCCCTGGGCTCAGCCCGCAGCTGCCGCAGCTCCCGCTCCAGCGCCTGGCTGCGGTGGTACATCTCCATGTAGCTGGCCTGGAGCTCCCGCTGGTACCGCAGCACCTTCTCCTTCTCCTCCTGCCACGTTTTCCTCTCCAGCTCAAAGTTCACAGCCTGCAGCTGGCCCTGGCGCCGCTCCCGCAGCAGCTCTGCCCACAGCCACTCCACCTGCCGCTCCAGGGGCTCCGCCGAGTCGCTCTGGAGGCCCCGGCACTTGGAGTCATCAGTTTCGCAGCCAGGGAAGTCCTGGCACGATGGCATGGGGTCATCGCTCAGAGGCAGTGAGGTGCTGGGCTCCGGGGGGCTCTGGAAGGAGTCTGCCAGCTGTGCCAGCTGCGTGTCCCTGGCCTGGACCTCTGCCTTGGCCTCCCGCAGCTGCGTCTTCAGGCTGAAGATCTCCCCCAGCTTCTGAGCCATCTCCTCCTGGGTGTCCCGCAGCTGCTGCTTCAGCAGGGAGATCTCCGCTGCTTTCTGGCACACCTGCAGGGCACGGGCGAGCAGTGAGGAAGGGCTGGGGGAGCAGGACCCCAGAGGTGGCAGCACCCTGAGTTGTCCTCATGGAGACCATAAGCACCAGACGTGGCTCATCCCTCCCGTACTGTGACCCCGAGTGACACCAGAGCAGGGAACTGCTGGCCCCATCCTGGCCCCACAGCCAGGAGGGTGGCAATAGGGAAGGAAGGAAGAGGACTCACCTCCCACTTGGTCTCCTCCAGTTTGGGGCTGCCATGCTCGCCCTGGGGCTGCCGGAGCTTGTTCTCCTCGCACTGGCACTGCTGCAGGCTCAGCTCCTCCTGCAGCCGCTTCTTCTCCTGCTGCGCCTTGTAGAGCTGCAGCTGCAGCGCCCGCTGCCCGCGCTGCGCCTGCTGCATCACCTGCTGCAGCCGGGCCATGTACATCTGCTTCAGGTCCTCCAGCTCGTCCAGCCACAGCCGCTGCTTGTCCTCAAACGCCTGCCAGCACAGGTGGACACTGGTGAGAGGCTGCAGCCCCAGGAGGGACCCCAAGAGGTCCTGTGATATTTGATCCTCCCATGATTGGGCATTCCAAGCCCATCACCCACCACAGCAGCTCCTTCTCTGCTCCTTCCACACCCACATCCCTGCCTGGGGCACCCAGCACTGCCCCAGCCCCACGGCTCACCTGTGTGAAGGGGTCTTCAGTCTCACTGAGGCTCCTCTTGAGCTGCCGCAGCTCCCCTCCCGTCTCCTGCAGCCGGTCCTCCAGCTGCTTCACCGCGTCCTCCAGCGAGTAGGAGAACTCGTACGGCGGCGGGGGCTCACTGGGGCTCTGCAGCCTGCTCAGGGTGGCCATGCTTTTGCAGGACAGGGGCATCTTCTCAGGGGCCACGGTATCCCTGGGGCTCCGGGAAACCCTGTCCAAGGAGCCCCCGATGTGGTTGATGTGGCCCATGGAGGCGCTGAACTGGCTCTGGGCAGGCTTGAGGCGGGAGCCGTAGGATGGGAAGCTCTGGATGGAGTTGTGGCTGGAGTCAGAGGCCTCATCCAGGCTGATGGCGTGGAGCAGGTGGGTGCGGAGCGGGCCGTGCTGCGGGGCCGCCGTGCTGCTCTGTGACAGCAGCGTGTGCAGGCTCCCATTGCTCTTGGACAACTTCTGCCCCTTGGACGAGGACAGGCCCTGCATGGAGACCAGCCCCTTCCCAGCCACTGCCTTGAAGGCCGAGGGCC